TAAATGACAATTTATACTTAATAGGGAGGAAAAATAATGATAAATGTGAAGGATGTGGAGAGATAGAAAATGCAGATGTATTGATGAACTGCAAAACATATGAACCTGAAAGGAAGAAATTGAAAAGAGGACAGGCCAAGAATGGAGTCTTAAAGGATTATTGGGAAATAAAGGAAATATAGAAGATATTTATAGATTAAGGAAAGCATTATTTATTTATCTTCAGAATACAAAATTAAAAAATAGAATTTAATAGATGTAAAACAATGTTGCTACACACTCATGAACAGTAGGTGGCGGTATGCCCGCCCCTTCCCTAGAGCACGGTGGGATCGAAAACATTTTGAATGGAAATCAATGGGGAGAAATTAATAAACTTCTGGTCCCAGTCGCTCTCTGTCACTGATTCCAGATATGCTGGTTGTGTATTCAAATTGTTTTTTGTTTTTTTTAGTTCCTCTTTGGTCAAAATCTGGTCAAAACCCATCAATGAGATCGCACCAAACAGGAAGTTAATTGCACAAAGGATCCGGTAGATTTCCAAATAAAACACATCCGATCTTAACCCATGATCCTTTTTTAACTAGTTTAATAAGTTTCTCCCGTATGCCACGACGTAATGCATTGATCTGAAAATCAAACTGAGACGCAACGCAGGCAGTGGCGAGGATTTGATCCGTCAGATGGAGTTAAATCACAAAGAATTCAATGTTGAATCGGGGCGGCAGCTAAATGCTAGGCGATGGGTAGCAGCCAAAACGTTGCAATTTCACATAATCCTGACGAGATCCGAAAAACCGTAACAAAAACTAGCAAGCGGGTGATTATGTATGCTCTCTGTCACTGATTCCAGATATGCTGGTTGTGTATTTAAATTGTTTTTTATTTATTTTTTGTTCCTCTTTGGTCAAAATCGGGTCAAAACCCATCAATGAGATCGCACCAAACAGGAAGTGAAATGCACAAAGAATCCGGTAGATTTCCAAATAAAACACATCCGATCTTAACCCATGATCCTTTTTTTAACTAGTTTAATTAGTTTCTCCCATATGCCACGACGTAATGCATTGATCTGAAAATCAACCTGAGACGCAACGCCGCAGTGGCGAGGGTTTGATCCGTCAGATGGAGTTAAATCACAAAGAATTCAATGTTGAATCGGGGCGGCAGCTAAATGCTAGGCGATGGGTAGCAGCCTAAACGTTGCAATTTCACATAATCCTGACGAGATCCGAAAAACGTAGCAAAAACTAGCAAGCGGGTGATTATGTATGTTCACTAAGGAAATATTATGTAAATAAACCCTACACTTCTCGCTATAAATGTAATCAAAAACCCATTTAAATGCAGAAACTGATTGAAATTATTGATTTTCCCACTAAAAGTTAGAGAAATCTCAGCCATGTTTATACCAAAATGTTACAGTTTCACATTATCTTGAAAAATCTTTGCAAGAAACGAACAAGCAAGTGAATATGTACATTCCCTGAGTAAATATTCTGGCAACAAACTATACATTTCTCACTAGAAATGTAATCAAAACTCATTTTAATGCAAAAACAAACTCAAGTTATTAATCTTTCCACAAAAAATGAGCGAATGTCGGCCATCTATATATATTTTTTTCTTCTCCCAGCTGGAATCTTGAAAGTCACGTGACTAGGACGTAAAACAATAGAAAGCGTATAGGTAGAAGAAACGTAACAGTACCACAAAAAAATGGCCATTAATGTACCTCCACTACGTTTTGCAGTGTGGACCAACGTAGTGGGGGTACATTTTCCCATGAGACTGGGTTGGTTAAGACTATATCCCAAAAGATAAAGTTTAAAATTAAGTCTAGGTTAATAAACCTTGGAATGAGATGGTCATGTTAAGACTGCATCACAAAAGATAAAGTTTAAAATTAAGTCTAGGTTAATAAACCTTGGAATGAGATGGTCATGTTAAGACTATATCCCAAAAGATAAAGTTTAAAATTAAGTCTAGGTTAATAAACCTTGGAATGAGATGGTCATGTTAAGACTGCATCCCAAAAGATAAAGTTTAAAATTAATGCTAGGTTAATAAACCTTGGAATGAGATGGTCATGTTAAGACCGCATCCCAAAAGATAAAGTTTAAAATTAAGTCTAGGTTAATAAACCTTGGAATGAGATGGTCATGTTAAGACTGCATCCCAAAAGATAAAGTTTAAAATTAAGTCTAGGTTAATAAACCTTGGAATGAGATGGTCATGTTAAGACTGCATCCCAAAAGATAAAGTTTAAAATTAAGTCTAGGTTAATAAACCTTGGAATGAGATGGTCATGTTAAGACTGCATCCCAAAAGATAAAGTTTAAAATTAAGTCTAGGTTAATAAACCTTGGAATGAGATGGTCATGTTAAGACTGCATCCCAAAAGATAAAGTTTAAAATTAATGCTAGGTTAATAAACCTTGGAATGAGATGGTCATGTTAAGACTGCATCCCAAAAGATAAAGTTTAAAATTAAGTCTAGGTTAATAAACCTTGGAATGAGATGGTCATGTTAAGACTGCATCCCAAAAGATAAAGTTTAAAATTAATGCTAGGTTAATAAACCTTGGAATGAGATGGTCATGTTAAGACTGCATCCCAAAAGATAAAGTTTAAAATTAAGTTTAGGTTAATAAACCTTGGAATGAGATGGTCATGTTAAGACTGCATCCCAAAAGATAAAGTTTAAAATTAAGTCTAGGTTAATAAACCTTGGAATGAGATGGTCATGTTAAGACTGCATCCCAAAAGATAAAGTTTAAAATTAAGTCTAGGTTAATAAACCTTGGAATGAGATGGTCATGTTAAGACTGCATCCCAAAAGATAAAGTTTAAAATTAATGCTAGGTTAATAAACCTTGGAATGAGATGGTCATGTTAAGACTGCATCCCAAAAGATAAAGTTTAAAATTAAGTCTAGGTTAATAAACCTTGGAATGAGATGGTCATGTTAAGACTGCATCCCAAAAGATAAAGTTTAAAATTAATGCTAGGTTAATAAACCTTGGAATGAGATGGTCATGTTAAGACTGCATCCCAAAAGATAAAGTTTAAAATTAAGTCTAGGTTAATAAACCTTGGAATGAGATGGTCATGTTAAGACTGCATCCCAAAAGATAAAGTTTAAAATTAATGCTAGGTTAATAAACCTTGGAATGAGATGGTCATGTTAAGACTATATCCCAAAAGATAAAGTTTAAAATTAATGCTAGGTTAATAAACCTTGGAATGAGATGGTCATGTTAAGACTGCATCCCAAAAGATAAAGTTTAAAATTAAGTCTAGGTTAATAAACCTTGGAATGAGATGGTCATGTTAAGACTGCATCCCAAAAGATAAAGTTTAAAATTAAGTCTAGGTTAATAAACCTTGGAATGAGATGGTCATGTTAAGACTGCATCCCAAAAGATAAAGTTTAAAATTAAGTCTAGGTTAATAAACCTTGGAATGAGATGGTCATGTTAAGACTGCATCCCAAAAGATAAAGTTTAAAATTAAGTCTAGGTTAATAAACCTTGGAATGAGATGGTCATGTTAAGACTATATCCCAAAAGATAAAGTTTAAAATTAAGTCTAGGTTAATAAACCTTGGAATGAGATGGTCATGTTAAGACTATATCCCAAAAGATAAAGTTTAAAATTAAGTCTAGGTTAATAAACCTTGGAATGAGATGGTCATGTTAAGACTGCATCCCAAAAGATAAAGTTTAAAATTAAGTCTAGGTTAATAAACCTTGGAATGAGATGGTCATGTTAAGACTGCATCCCAAAAGATAAAGTTTAAAATTAATGCTAGGTTAATAAACCTTGGAATGAGATGGTCATGTTAAGACTGAATCCCAAAAGATAAAGTTTAAAATTAAGTCTAGGTTAATAAACCTTGGAATGAGATGGTCATGTTAAGACTATATCCCAAAAGATAAAGTTTAAAATTAAGTCTAGGTTAATAAACCTTGGAATGAGATGGTCATGTTAAGACTGCATCCCAAAAGATAAAGTTTAAAATTAAGTCTAGGTTAATAAACCTTGGAATGAGATGGTCATGTTAAGACTGCATCCCAAAAGATAAAGTTTAAAATTAAGTCTAGGTTAATAAACCTTGGAATGAGATGGTCATGTTAACCCCTTGCTCACACAGACTCCGGTGCGGTTACCGAGCCGACGGAGACCGCAACTTCCGCACACCCCCTCTCACACCGCCCTTTTGACTATGGTGCGGTGCGGCTCCGCGGCTCCGGCAACAGGTCCGGAGATTGACTTGCGAGAACTGGAGTTCACGTAACTTCACGCGATAACACCACCCAAATAAGGAAGTGTCCAGTAAAGAAAGATCGCATTTGGATTTATCACGCGTGTCAGCACACTTCTCCGCATTTTTCGGCGACTTTTTTGACTTTCTTCTATGAGTAAGTATGATATAGTAAAGTAAAAGTAATACGTTTGTTTTTTTGAAAGTACTATTGTAATAGATGTGGCGGAAATTCCATACAAATGAATGATCAGAATTTCCTTAAGACTAGTTTTTCATGATTCACCGCAATACATGACCTGCATGTTGTACTTATGCATGCTATCACTGTTTGTACATCTGTAGACCTTATTTAAGTGATAAATATATACGTATTTGTTTACTGCGTCTTTCAGCTAGCAGAAGAAAGGTGCTTGCTGCCTGCGCTCTTCTTGCACTGCAAGAAGAGGATGAGCAGAGAGGCAGAAGTACCTGAAGACATTCATGGGTCCATCCAATAAATCTTCAAAGACAGGAGCAAGGAGATTTTCATAATCTTGTTGCAGAGCTTCAGCTCGACAGCCAGCGGCACCACCGATACTTCAGGATGAGTGCAGAGCAGATGGAGCACATACTTTCCATCATTGGACCTGAACTAACAAGGCAGGACACAAACTACAGAGCTGCCATAGAGCCCAAACAACGTCTGGCGGTTGCACTGAGGTAAATATACAGATAAACCAGATGTGAGCATAACAAATATTTTTTATTCACACAAAAATACACAGCAAACGTTTAAATAGGAGATTTGTATTTATAAAAATAACATAAAATAAAATCTAAATACACTCAAAATTTTTAAAAGTTATACACAAAATAAAATAAAGACAATAAAGTAAAACTATTTACAAACACACAAAGTAAACTTAAAATTGAGGATAGTCCTCCCATTCACTACTTTGAGGCATTTGGCTTGTGTCCTGCAGCATTTGAGTGAATGAGCCAAATGCACTTTGATCCTGTGGGGACTGAAAATGTGGCTGCACTCTTGGAGTTGAGGGGGCCGTGGGGGGTGGGGGAGGGCAAAACAGAGGTGTTGGCCTCCTGATGGCTTGAGCAGCTTTTTCCTGATCCTCTATTTGGTGTAGAGTGTTCAGGATTTCCATTTTTGCCTTTCTTAGGCCATCAGAACTGAGCCTCAGCATCATTGGGACCAAACTTAAGGCAAAAAAATATGCCTCATCTTTGGGGCCTTCAGGTCTTGCAGGGGGCTCTTGCAGAACCTCCAGCAATCTGTCCTGAAAATCGCCACGTGCAGCTGGACTCCTTCTCCTCCTCCCCCTGTCCTGTGCTGCACTTTGCTGTGTGGCAACGGGCTGTGGTCTTTCCCTGGGGCTTCTTGACCTCTCCACATCCCTGGAGGTTGATGGTCCGGGAATAGGGGGCACTGGAGAAGGGGCAGAGCGGGATGAAGTGGGTCGGGGTTCCGCTTCCTCATCAAATTCAAATGTTGCAGATGCTGTGGAGATAGATGGGGAGGGCGTAGTGGTGCAAGCTTGGGTGCTGGCTGGGTTTGAAAGCCGCACATTACTTTTTTGGCTATACAAGAAGATATCAGAAGAAGATAAAAATTAAAAGACAAGTACTTTAATTTATTCTACAATCAATAAAAATACAATGTTGACAACATTAATTTTACTTGAATAATATAATATTACTGACCGTCTGTGCTGGATGTGAGGCCGGAGGAACGTCAGCAAATCCGCATATTTATGCGTTGGAGGGACAGAGTCAGCATCAGCCCCGCTTGAAATTTTCTTTTCTGCCTTGACGAAGCTGTCTCGTATTAGCCTCCATCTGTTCATGCAAGTGGTCACTAGAAGGACATAACACAAATGTTAACAAGTAAATAAATGTTTTCATTTTGTGTTCCACAGATATTTGGCTTCTGGTGACTCCCTAATGAGCCTGGCGTTCAGCTATCGACTCGGCCACTCGACTGTTGTGAATTCTGTTCACATGGTCTACGCAGCGATCGAGAGCAAGATGATGGAAGAGTTCCTGCCCAGCCCAACTGAAGATATGTGGACTGAAGTGGCACGTGGCTTCTGGAGAATATGGAACTTTCCCAACTGCCTTGGTGCAATTGATGGCAAACATGTCAACATACAAGCACCAGCTCGTTCAGGGTCACAGTACTTTTACTACAAGAAAAGTTTTTCCATAGTGCTTTTGGCTGTTGTGGACCATGAGTACAGGTTCAGGGCAATTCAAGTTGGGGACTTTGGAAGGATGAGTGATGGAGGTGTTTTTTCAGCATCAAATCTGGGAAAGGGACTAGAGAGGGGAGACCTGAATGTACCGCCAAGTTCACCTTTGCCTGGTGCACCAGAACTCGGACCGCTGCCCCATGTCTTGGTGGGAGATGCTGCCTTCCCACTTAAAACCTACCTGCTGAGGCCCTACCCTGCTACTGATCTGGACCACGACAACCGTATTTTTACTTATAGACTTTCAAGAGCACGCATGGTGTTGGAATGTGCGTTTGGAATCCTCACTGCAAGGTGGAGAATTATGCTCAGAAACATAAACTTACATCCAAACCACGTGGACACACTGGTTGTGGCTGCCATCATACTCCACAACTACTTGCTTGCCCCGTCAGAGAACCAGAGATACTTGGATGAGGCTGAAGAGCGAGGACTACGTTTGCCACAAGCTCTGAACATTGGTGGGCGCAGAGCTGCCAGACAAGCGTACGAGAACAGGAGGGCCTACACTACATTTTTTAACAGTCCAGCAGGTAGTGTGTCTTGGCAGGAAAAAATGATCTAGGCTGATGTGATAGGTGTTAACCTATGAAACCCAAAGACTTCTTTTTAACTGCTGTGTATGTTTTCCTTTCTTTTGACTTAAAATGCATGTGGTTAATAAAAAAGTTTTAAACAGTATGTGTTCTGTCCAGTCTCTGTAATACAAGAGTAGCTACTTGCATTCATTCACACTAACTTGTGAATGGCTGTGAGGCACACCACATTTACATAACAACACAGAGGTGTAGGCATGGCCCCTCTCCCATCCCAAGTGCACTGACTCAACACAAAGCAAGATGGGACCGAATACTTTTATTATATTTGAATATAAGCTAATATTTTAATATCCTTATTAGTTTTGGTAGTGCTGTTGCTACAAACAGTACATGTATGTTTATGCCATGTAATAACTGTAAGAACACATCAAAAACAGTACAGGGAGAGCTGGGGCCTTACATAAGACTACAAAATTTGCCTTTTGACTACACAGAAAACTAGGAATTAATGATTAAACATAATATCATGTAATGTGTTTTTATATATATATATATTTAAATATATACATATATATAGATAAAAAGAACCCTAAACAAGATGGGACCGAATACTTTTATATATTATATTTGAATATAAGCTAATATTTTAATATCCTTGTAATTAATGATTAAACATAGTATCATGTAATGTGTTTTATTTTTATATTGATAAAAAGAAATAAAACACTTTCCCAACAGTTTATGACACTATTATTGACAAATACTTACTATCCTCTTCCATGGCAGCAGCTATTTCTTTCCACGCATTTTCTTTTTTTGTGTTATCCTTGTAAAAAGGATTTGAAGTGTCATAAATGATGGGATGGTTTTCAACCTCGTGAATGAGCCTCTCGTCGTCCATTGCTGTAAATCAAGTGATGGGGCCACAAAGTTTTGACCCCGTCTTTACCAGCAGGCGGCAGTGACGTCATATGGGTTGTACAGAGGGAAGGCGGAGAGAAAGGACAGACAATACATGCAAACGAACGTGTTTTATTTTGAAAAAAACAGGAAATCTTTTATTTTCATTGGAAAACTTCCTGTTTGTGCCGTGGTATTTGCGAGAGCTTGTTGCGGAGGCCTCCGGAACGCCGCAAGGATAGCTTTCTTGCGGAATTTTCTGCAGCGCCGGAGTGCCTCGGTAACCGCAGCCGGACAGCTCTGCAGCCGGTGAGAGAGGTTTACGTCTTTTTAATGACTTGGAATCCTTGCGGCGCCGCACACACCGCACCGCAACGATAAGACCGGAGTCGGTGTGAGACTGCATCCCAAAAGATAAAGTTTAAAATTAATGCTAGGTTAATAAACCTTGGAATGAGATGGTCATGTTAAGACTGCATCCCAAAAGATAAAGTTTAAAATTAAGTCTAGGTTAATAAACCTTGGAATGAGATGGTCATGTTAAGACTATATCCCAAAAGATAAAGTTTAAAATTAATGCTAGGTTAATAAACCTTGGAATGAGATGGTCATGTTAAGACTGCATCCCAAAAGATAAAGTTTAAAATTAATGCTAGGTTAATAAACCTTGGAATGAGATGGTCATGTTAAGACTGCATCCCAAAAGATAAAGTTTAAAATTAATGCTAGGTTAATAAACCTTGGAATGAGATGGTCATGTTAAGACTGCATCCCAAAAGATAAAGTTTAAAATTAATGCTAGGTTAATAAACCTTGGAATGAGATGGTCATGTTAAGACTGCATCCCAAAAGATAAAGTTTAAAATTAATGCTAGGTTAATAAACCTTGGAATGAGATGGTCATGTTAAGACTGCATCCCAAAAGATAAAGTTTAAAATTAATGCTAGGTTAATAAACCTTGGAATGAGATGGTCATGTTAAGACTGCATCCCAAAAGATAAAGTTTAAAATTAATGCTAGGTTAATAAACCTTGGAATGAGATGGTCATGTTAAGACTGCATCCCAAAAGATAAAGTTTAAAATTAATGCTAGGTTAATAAACCTTGGAATGAGATGGTCATGTTAAGACTGCATCCCAAAAGATAAAGTTTAAAATTAATGCTAGGTTAATAAACCTTGGAATGAGATGGTCATGTTAAGACTATATCCCAAAAGATAAAGTTTAAAATTAATGCTAGGTTAATAAACCTTGGAATGAGATGGTCATGTTAAGACTGCATCCCAAAAGATAAAGTTTAAAATTAATGCTAGGTTAATAAACCTTGGAATGAGATGGTCATGTTAAGACTGCATCCCAAAAGATAAAGTTTAAAATTAATGCTAGGTTAATAAACCTTGGAATGAGATGGTCATGTTAAGACTGCATCCCAAAAGATAAAGTTTAAAATTAATGCTAGGTTAATAAACCTTGGAATGAGATGGTCATGTTAAGACTGCATCCCAAAAGATAAAGTTTAAAATTAAGTCTAGGTTAATAAACCTTGGAATGAGATGGTCATGTTAAGACTGCATCCCAAAAGATAAAGTTTAAAATTAAGTCTAGGTTAATAAACCTTGGAATGAGATGGTCATGTTAAGACTGCATCCCAAAAGATAAAGTTTAAAATTAATGCTAGGTTAATAAACCTTGGAATGAGATGGTCATGTTAAGACTGCATCCCAAAAGATAAAGTTTAAAATTAAGTCTAGGTTAATAAACCTTGGAATGAGATGGTCATGTTAAGACTGCATCCCAAAAGATAAAGTTTAAAATTAATGCTAGGTTAATAAACCTTGGAATGAGATGGTCATGTTAAGACTGCATCCCAAAAGATAAAGTTTAAAATTAATGCTAGGTTAATAAACCTTGGAATGAGATGGTCATGTTAAGACTGCATCCCAAAAGATAAAGTTTAAAATTAATGCTAGGTTAATAAACCTTGGAATGAGATGGTCATGTTAAGACTGCATCCCAAAAGATAAAGTTTAAAATTAAGTCTAGGTTAATAAACCTTGGAATGAGATGGTCATGTTAAGACTGCATCACAAAAGATAAAGTTTAAAATTAATGCTAGGTTAATAAACCTTGGAATGAGATGGTCATGTTAAGACTGCATCCCAAAAGATAAAGTTTAAAATTAATGCTAGGTTAATAAACCTTGGAATGAGATGGTCATGTTAAGACTGCATCCCAAAAGATAAAGTTTAAAATTAATGCTAGGTTAATAAACCTTGGAATGAGATGGTCATGTTAAGACTGCATCCCAAAAGATAAAGTTTAAAATTAAGTCTAGGTTAATAAACCTTGGAATGAGATGGTCATGTTAAGACTGCATCACAAAAGATAAAGTTTAAAATTAATGCTAGGTTAATAAACCTTGGAATGAGATGGTCATGTTAAGACTGCATCCCAAAAGATAAAGTTTAAAATTAAGTCTAGGTTAATAAACCTTGGAATGAGATGGTCATGTTAAGACTATATCCCAAAAGATAAAGTTTAAAATTAATGCTAGGTTAATAAACCTTGGAATGAGATGGTCATGTTAAGACTGCATCCCAAAAGATAAAGTTTAAAATTAATGCTAGGTTAATAAACCTTGGAATGAGATGGTCATGTTAAGACTGCATCCCAAAAGATAAAGTTTAAAATTAATGCTAGGTTAATAAACCTTGGAATGAGATGGTCATGTTAAGACTGCATCCCAAAAGATAAAGTTTAAAATTAATGCTAGGTTAATAAACCTTGGAATGAGATGGTCATGTTAAGACTATATCCCAAAAGATAAAGTTTAAAATTAATGCTAGGTTAATAAACCTTGGAATGAGATGGTCATGTTAAGACTGCATCCCAAAAGATAAAGTTTAAAATTAATGCTAGGTTAATAAACCTTGGAATGAGATGGTCATGTTAAGACTGCATCCCAAAAGATAAAGTTTAAAATTAATGCTAGGTTAATAAACCTTGGAATGAGATGGTCATGTTAAGACTGCATCCCAAAAGATAAAGTTTAAAATTAATGCTAGGTTAATAAACCTTGGAATGAGATGGTCATGTTAAGACTGCATCCCAAAAGATAAAGTTTAAAATTAAGTCTAGGTTAATAAACCTTGGAAT